TCCTATAGTTAGCTTCAAGATAATACTCTACTGACTAGGTCTGATAAATTATGGTTTTCTGTAGCTAGTTCAATACGATACTTCACCCATTTTGTATGGTAGACCACTGTTTTCTCTGTAGCCATGAGATCTCTAGTAAGAAGAGTGGTCTCTAGTTTTAATACAGTACTCTACCTGTTTGGTCTGGTGAATCATGGTTTTCTCCCTAGCCATAAGTTCTCTGGTGGGAAGAGCTGTTCCTCCTTTTTGTCCTCCAGTCTTTTGTTTACCATACACTTGGATCACCAGTGGGTCATTCATGAGGTAGTCTACAAGCTGAAATTTCAAAAGCTATGTCATATATTACAACATTTGGAAATAACTCATACTGGGTCAGGGCCGTAGCCTGAGCAAAATGCCAGGGGGGGCAGTAAGCGGACACGAGGGGGCGAAGCTACCGAGGGGGGAGGGTGTGGTGTGTAAAATTCCAAATTCCAGGGGGGGAAGCTGCCCCCCCTGCCCCCCCGGAGGCTACGGCCCTGTGGGTACTGGTTTTAGCAAGCTTAGCTAATTATGTGTTCTGTCTACTGTCAGTCTGTCTGTCAGTCTGTCTGGTCTTTATTCATGTATCTCTGTTGATTTAAATGTGGAGCAATAGCAATAAGTAGTTTGCATGATAAATCACAATCTAAGGAATTTGATTTTAAATTTTCAAGTTTTTGTTGTATTAAGTCCAAAACATTTCAAATAAGTCATCACTTTTATCTCTATTTTTTATTGCCTACTTATCTGAATTGAGTCAATCATAAAACATCAAATAAATTAGCTCATAAAAATGTAATCTATCTATTAAAATAAATTATAAATAAATGGTGAAAAAAAGAAAACCCCTCCTGCACTGACCTGCTGTGTGACAGGTTTAAATGTGAACTGTTTGTCAAAGTTGAAGTCCATGTTTACTCCACTCATCTCCTTGGACACTGCTGGGGTGTCGTCTAGGTAGAACTTATAGCTCACATAGACCTGGAAATTTAGATTATACCAATGGCATGTAGACCTCCCAATATATCAAATATTACTTTTGTCTGCTTTTATTCATCCTTACATACATAAGGAAATCCTGCTGATAATCATGGCAGTAAAATATAAACAGTCTAGTAAATATGCTCTGAGTCTTTTGTTCCATTGATAACTTTAAATAACTCAGCTTTTAACAAAAAAGTTCTGACTCATCAACCTTTCCAGAATGTTTTCTATCCAAAGCAAAATTATTATTTTATCAGTTTAAATAATTGTAAAAATCTTCTTCCAATTCTACTAAATATTTATGATGGCACCAATCAAAGCAACGAGTCTACATTTTTCATGTAAATTATCCTGTTTTATATCTTTATCTCATTTTAA